CCATCGGGCCAACAGGCCAATTGGTCCAACTGGTCCATCGGGCTAGCACGCCAGTTGGTCCAACCGGTCCATCGGGCCAGCACGCCAGTTGGTCCAACCGGTCCATTTGACCAACAGGCCAGTTGGTCCTACTGGTCCATAAGACCAACAGGCAGTTGGTCCCATTGGACCCAGAGGCCGGTTGGGCCAAATCGGTCCGTTGGACCAACAGTCCAGTTGGTCCAACCGGTCCATCGGGCCAACAGACCAGTTGGTCCAACCGGTCCATCGGACCAACAAGCCAGTTGGTCCAACCGGTCCATCGGGCCAACATGCCAGTTGATCCATCCGGTACATCGTGCCAACGGACCAAGAGACCTGTTGGACCATTAGCCCGTTGGCCCAAAAGGCCGGTTGGACCTACAGGCCAGTTGGTCCAACCGGTCCATTGGACCAACAGGCCAGTTGGTCCAACTGGTCCATTGGTTTAACAAGCCAGCTGGTCTAAACGGTCCATCGAGCCAACAAGCCTGTTGGTCCTACCGGTCCATGGGGCCAACATGCCAGTTGGTCGAACCGGTCCATGGGGCCAACAAGGCAGTTGGTCCAACCGGTCCATCAGGCCAACTGGCCAGTTGGTCCAACCGGTTGGTCAGTCCAACAGGCCAGTTGGTCCAATCGGTCTATCGGACCAATAGGCCAGTTGGTCCAACCGGTCCAGGTCCTACCGGTCCATCGGGCCAACGGGCCAGCAGGTCCAACCGGTCCATCGGGCCATCAGGCCAGTTGGTCCAACCGGTCCATCGGGCCAACAGGCCAATTGGTCCAATCGGTCCATCGGGACAACAGGCCATTTGGTCCAACCAGTCCATTGGGCCTATAGGCCAGTTGGTCTAACCGGTACATCGGGCCAACAGGCCAATTGGTCCAACTGGTCCATTCGGCCAACTGGCCAGTTGGTCCAACCGGTCCATCGGACCAACAGGCCAGCTGGTCCAACTGGTCCATGAGGCCAACAGGCCAGTTTGTCCTACTGTTCCATCGGACCAACAGGCCAGTTGGTCCAACTGGTCCATTGGACCAACAGGCCAGTTGGTCCAACCGGTCCATTGGGCCAATAGGAGAGTTGGTCCTACCGGTCCATTGGACCAACAGGCAGTTTGTCCACCGGTCCATTGGGCCAACTAGCCAGTTGGTCCAGCCGGTCCATTCGACCAAGAGGCAGTTGGTCGAACCGGTCCATTGGGCCAACAGGCCAGTTGGTCCTACCGGTCCATTGGTCCATCATGCAGTTGGTCCTACCGGTAGATTGGGGCAACAGGCCATTTGGTCCTACCGGTTCATTGGACCACATGCAGTTGGTCCAACCGGTCCACTGGGCCAACACGCAGTTGGTCCAACCGGTCCATTGAGCCAACAGGCCAATTGGTGCAACCGGTCCATTGGGCCAACAGGACAGTTGGTCCAACCTGTCCATTGGACCAACAGGCCATTTGGTCCTGCCTGTCCATTGGACCATGTCACCGAATATAATGGTAAGTGCATCATATTAGAGACATGTGCTAATTGGGTGTAGAAGTGGTGTAGCGAGTGTTATTCAATCTGCATGTGGGGTAGTTGGGTTATAGAGAATATTGAGAAATTGGTAGCATTGGGGGTTACAGGACGCTTCGGGGACAATTTTAGGAACCTCGGGAGACAAGCAATGTGGCGAGGGCCAATCCAAGGCCCAAGCGGCTTGAGCTCAACCCAGCACGCTGAGTTAGTCGCGACTGGACAGGCAAGCACAAATAGCCTAGCCTAGCATAGCTAGGTGACTACGACACTGGCCTGTTGGCCCAATAAACCGGTTGGACCAATTGGTCTGTTGGCCCATTGAACCGGTTGGACCAATTGGTTTGTTGGCCCTATGGACCGGTTGGACCAACTAACTTGTAAATGCAGTGGACCGATTGGACCAACAGGCCTGTTCGTCCAAATGACCGGTTGGACCAGCTGGCTGTTGGTCCGATGGGCTGGTTGGACCAACTGGCCTATTGGTTCGATTGACACGTAGGACCAAGTGGCCCGTTGGCTCGATGGACCGGTTGGACCAACTGGCCTGTTGGCCCGATGGACCGGTTGGACCAACTAGCCTGTTGGCCCAATGGACCAGTTGGACCAACTGGCCTGTTGGCCCGATGGACAGGTTGGACCAACTGGCCTGTTGGCCAGATGGACCGGTTGGACCAACTGGCCTGTTGGCCCGATGGACCGGTTGCACCAACTAACTTGTTGGTCCAATGGGCCGGTTGAACCAACTGCTTGTTGGTCCCATGGACCGGTAGGACCAACTGGCCTGGTGGCCCGACGGACCGGGAGGACCAACTGACCTGTTGGCCCGATGGACCGGTAGGACCACCTGGCCTGTTGGCCCGATGGACCGGTTGGACCAACTGGCTTGTTGGCCTCATGGACCGGTTGGACCAACTGGCTTGTTGGCCCGATGCACCGGTTGGACCAACTGACCTGTTGCCCCGATGGACCGGTTGGACCAACTGGCCTGTTGGACCGATGGAAAGGTTAGACCATTTGGCCTGTTGGTCCAATGGACCGGTTGGACCAACCTGTTGGTCCAATGGACCGGTTGAACCAACTGGCCTGTTGGTCCAATGGGCTGGTTGTACCAACTGGCTTGTTGGTTCGATTGACCGGTAGGACCAAGTGGCCTTTTGGCCCGATGGCCCGGTTGGATCAACTATTATGTTGGCCTGATGGACCAGTAGGACCAACTGGCCTGTTGGCCCAATGGACCGGTAGGACCAAGTGGCCTGTTGTCCCGATAGACCGGTTGGACCAACTAACCTGTTGGCCCAATGGACCGGTTGGACCAACTGGCCTGTTGGCCAGGTGGACCGGTTGGACCAACTGGCCTGTTGGCACGATGGACCGGTTGCACCAACTGGCCTATTGGTCCAATGGACCGGTTGAACCAACTGCCTGTTGGTCCCATGGACCGGTAGGACCAACTGGCCTGGTGGCCCGATGGACCGGTAGGACCAACTGACCTGTTGGCGGGATGGACCGGTAGGACCAACTGGCCTGTTGGCCCGATGGACCGGTTGGACCAACTGGCTTGTTAGCCCGATGCACGGGTTGGACCAACTGGCCTGTTGCCCCTTTGGACGGGTTGGACCAACTTGCCTGTTGGCCCGATGGACAGGTTAGACCAACTGGCCTGTTGGTCCAATGGACCGGTTGGACCAACTGCCTGTTGGTTGTCGGGGTTACTCCCCTCTCCTTCCTCACTTATCTCTTGCCCTTGCCTCTCCCCTGTCTTCTGTCCTCACCTTCGTCCCTTCCTTCTTATTCCTGCCTTTCCCGACTTCTGCTGCCCTATTCCCTTCTTCGTACTCAGCCACTACCTGCCCCCTCCTGTGCTCGTGCTCAAGCTGCTCGGGCGCGAGTCACAAGACTCTCAGCTGAGGACGGCTGCTCTTCACTCCTGGCGTGCGGGTCTGGTGGTCCACGGTTTGTTCTCCCTTCTCCTGCAAGTGTTCCGCCACCGCCATCGGTATCACCTCCTACAACTGTTCCGCTGCCTTAGCTCGCTCCCATGCCGCCCGGTTCTCCGCCTCTTCCATTGTATGTGTTGGTGTAAGGGCCTAATAAACTCAGGCTATTATGACTTAATCAAACTTAAAACCTCTCCTCGGGGTCACCTCCAAGGGTCCTTGGGTGCCTGGTACAAGACCAGCCCCTATCCTCGGGTCCAAGTTTGTAGAGTGAGGAGTCAAGAATGACTTAGCCAAATTAGCAAGAGTACCTTGATCGTCGCGCAGCGTATCGTGCAGACCGTCGATCGGATTAAGCTGAGAATTTCCTATATCAAAGCTCGCTCTAAAAGCTTTAAAATAAGCCAAGTTGCCTCGCAAAAAGTTCTGCCATTACAAAGTTATGGCTCGGACAGCGTTTGCCTAGCGTCGTAGTGCTAGCGTGCTAGCGTTGACTCGGTAGCATTCTGCCGTCGCACCGCGTAGAAACGAGATTCCAGCAAGGAAGGAATTCGCTTGAATCAATTTGAATATATCCAGGTACAAACAGAGAAGGAATAAATAGTTCTAGCTAGCAAGGACCTTGGGAATCAACCTGGGAACAACCAGGGATGATCCCAAATAATTCCAAGCAACAGAACCAACCTGGCTGGTCAAAACAGCAGGTGGTAGGTTGATAAACAACCTCTGGTTCTGTTTTTCCAACCTGGAAAAACAACAATCAGGTTCAGGTCCTAAAAACAGAACCTGTTTTGTCTTTGCCCAACCAGCCAAATGCTGGTTCCGCTGGTTTCCCCTGGCCCTGTAGCATGCAGATACAGACAAACAACATCCAACCTTCACCTAAAGTGTACCCCTATAGTGCCTGCCCTGCTACACTATAGTCAACCAAACTAAACAGTACAATTTCGAGTTGGATAGAACTGAATCTGCGCAATCAATTCAACAGAACTGCAAAGCTTCCATCTTGGGTTCCTTTGCGAGCTCGTCCTTTCTGCTTGCACTGTTCATAGCGCGCACAATGTTGTGCCGAAGCGCACATTGCGCGAGTACCTGCAAATGCATCAAGCGAAATTTGCGAAAGCAAACAAACACACGAACATTCCATTCACACCCAAATGCATTCGCACACGCATACTCCTATAACCAGACGGCAGGATATCGTGCAATGCGAATTTGCACCCAACAGTATGGTCTACCTTTTCCCCCGTTGCTAGGGGCTCCCATGCCCCCACTTCCTTACTCTCTCGCTATGTTTCCTCCTGCTCCTGGGCCTTGCCTCTCGTTGCTTCTTCTATCATTTCTTCCCCCAGCAGCTCTGGCCTTCCTCCCCGCAGCTTCCTCACATGCTGCTCCGCCAGCTTATTTCCCTGCGCTTGCTCCTCTGCTTGCATCCGATCCTTCACCGTCACGCCAGTCTTCGCCCCTGCCTCGATTTCCCCGAACAACTCCGCTGTCCTTAGCGTTGGCTGGCAACCACTCCCTCCCATGTCTGTACTGCTCAGCCCCTTCTTCCCTCCTTTCTTCACCGCTCCCTACTTCTCGCCATTCCCTTCCGCTTCTGCTGCCGCTTGTACACACGCCCTTGCCCCCTCCTCTTTGTCTCTCTCCTCTACTTCTGCTGCTGCAATTACACCCACTCCTGCCCCCACCTGCTCGTCCTTCTCCTCGGCTTCCGCTGCTGCTGGTACGCACGCCCAGGTCCCCTCTCTCTCATTCTTCCCTTCCCCTTCTGTTGCTGCCCATTCCCTCACCTTCTCATCCTTTCCTTCAGTGTCTGCTGCTACTAATTCACACACTCCCGCCTCCTCCTTCTCATCCTTCGCTTCCCCTTCTGCCACTGCCCATGCTCTCACCTTCTCATCCGTCTCTCCCCCTTCTGCCACTGCCCATGCCCTCACATTCGTGGCTCGCTCCCTTCCTCCGTCCCTGCCCCCACTGCGCAGCCCAATGGCTTCAATGCTACGCAGCACCGCATAGGAATATTCTGGCTCCTGCTCCCTTTCCTCCTCCTCCTCTTCCTCCCTTGCATACAACCCCGCCTGCCTCTCTGTTCTTCCTCTCAGCGCCCGCCCATTCCTTCCGTCTCTGCTCCCACTGCGCAGACCCAATTGCTTACGGCTACGTAACGCCTGGAATGTGTACTCTGGCTCCTGCCCCTCCTCCTCTTTTCGCTCCTTCTTCCCTCGCGTACAACCCAGCCTCCTTCTCCTTCCTCCCTCCCAGGGCCTGCAGCTGCGCCCGCAACTTCCTTATCTGGCTCTCGATCTCCTCTGGTGACCTTTTTGCTCCGCCTGTCCCTTTATTGCATTCCCTTGCCTCATGCCCCCTTTCTCCGCACTCCTTACATGTCGGTGCCTCCGGGCAGTCCCTTTGGCGGTGCCCTGGCTTCCCACATACATCGCAGTTCCTGCAGTGCATCCTTATGTGCCCCGGCTGCCCGGTAACAGGTGCGTGTCTCTGTCCTTTTCTCCGGCCTGCTCTCTTCTCCTGCTCCCTCCCCTGGTATCATCGCCGCTGCCCAGGTAGGACTCTTCTTCTCTATCGTCCTCGGCAGGTATACCTCGTACTTCCTCTGCGCCAGCTCCACCCTCTTCGCTAACTCGAACACCTCCTCTGGTGTTGCATCTGCTCCTGGCTCATATACGCTCATTCTCAACCCTCCTGCCAATCCCTTGTCTAAACCGTTCAGAAACTTGCTAATGATCATGCTGCTGTCCGTGCACACCACGTCTTTCACCGGGTTCATTAACCGTCCGTAGTATGTCAGCAGTGACTCCTCATCCCTCCGCCTAAACTCCAGGAATTCCCTGATGCACGCCGCCGTATGCCCAGGGAACTGCTTCCTTAGTCGCTCCAGTACTGTCGGGTCCTCGTCATCCTCTTCTGCCCTCCTCAGCCATTCACCAATCTTCATGCGATATAAAGTCTCTTCTTCCCCTCCCAACGTGCTTGGCAGGCTCAGGAAAAACTCGATCGGGTCCATCCCGCTTCTGTCGCATCAGTATTTATCATTGCTGATCTGCATCAAATAAGTCTTCAGACTTGGGCCGGTTTTCTCGTTTCCTGTGAAGCGTACCGGCACCTTCACTCGCGGCTGTGCTGTTGCGCCCCACCTCCCTGTTTCCCAGCTCTCCATCCCTCCTCGCTCAGACACCATAACCCCTCTCCTCCTTTCCTTTTCTCCTCTGCTGCCTGTGCTGGTTCCGTACAGCACTCGCTCTATTCCTTCCCTCGTCGCTCTTGCACATGCAGATCCTTCAACGTGACGCCCAGGCCTCCTCGGGCCCATAGGGCTAGGGCTTCTCCCTCGGGCATCTTCACGCTCCCCCCAACGCCTCTCTGCATCTTCCCGACGCTTCTCTCCCCTTGCAGGGGACCGTACTGGTACCGCCGCACTCTGTCCTCTCGCTGTCGCTCCTTCTCGGCTCGGGCGAGTGGAACACTCCAGCAGGTGTGTCAAGGCTCCATTCTTTCCCTAGACGTTCCGTGGCGTCGCGCTCAGCTCCCTCACCCCAGCCGTGCTCCATATCATCTCTTTTCCGTGCTCCAGGTATGCGCTCTTCCTTCCTCCTTCCCCTTTCCTCGTTCCATGCTTTCTCGTGATGCCTCTATCCATCACCCTCTCTCATTCTTTCTTCATGCGTTCCACCCCCCCGCGCAGCTGGGGATTCGTCTCCGTTGGCGCCAGCGCGCGTTCCACCCCCCCGTGCAGCTGGGGATTCGTCTCCGTCGGCGCCAGCGCGCCTTTCGCCTCCCCGCGCTGCTGGGGATTCGTCTCCGTCGGCGCCAGCGCGCCTTCTGCCTCCCCGCGTAGCTGTGGATTCGTCTCCGTCGGCGCCAATGCGCCTTCCGCCTCCCCGCGCAGCTGGGGATTCGTCTCCGTAGGCGCCAGCACGCCTTCCGCCTCCCCGCGCAGCTGGGGATTCGTCTCCGTCGGCGCCAGCGCGCCTTCCGCCTCCCCGCGCAGCTGGGGATTCGTTGAGCTCTTCCTCTTCGCCGTCAATGCTTGGCGCGTCCATCTCCATGTCGTCGTCGCGACGCCTATCTTCCACTCCGTGCTGGCCTCCTGCCAGATCCCACGGATCGCTGGCTGCGGGCTGCCTCCTCGGCTCCGATCTGACGTACAGATCCGCTCCGCGTCCTCCAGCCCGCACGGCCACTCGCGTAACCAGATCTGCGCGATACGCCACCCTTCGTGGCGAGCGCGTCGGCGACATCCCCCGCTCCTGCGAGCGTCTTCCTCGCGACGGAGAGCGTTCCCGCCGCGAATACGTTTGCTGCATGCGCAGCTCATGGCTATCCATATCGCCAGCTCGGTTCTCTCTTCTTGTGAGATGTTCACAGGCTAGGCTGGGCTATTTGTGCTTGGCTGTCCAGTCGCGAGTAACTCAGCGTGCTGGGTTGAGCTCAAGCCGCTTGGGCCTTGGATTGGCCCTCGCCACATTGCCTGTCTCCCGAGGTTCCTGAAATTGTCCCCGAAGCGCCTTGTAACCCCCAATGCTACCAACTTCTCACTATTCTCTATAACCCAACTACCCCACATGCAGATTGAATAACACTCGCTACACCACTTCTACGCCCAGGTCCCCTCTCTCTCATTCTTCCCTTCCCCTTCTGTTGCTGCCCATTCCCTCACCTTCTCATCCTTCCCTTCAGTGTCTGCTGCTACTAATTCACACACTCCCGCCTCCTCCTTCTCATCCTTCGCTTCCCCTTCTGCCACTGCCCATGCTCTCACCTTCTCATCCTTCTCTCCCCCTTCTGCCACTGCCCATGCCCTCACATTCGTGGCTCGCTCCCTTCCTCCGTCCCTGCCCCCACTGCGCAGCCCAATGGCTTCAATGCTACGTAGCACCGCATAGGAATATTCTGGCTCCTGCTCCCTTTCCTCCTCCTCCTCTTCCTCCCTTGCATACAACCCCGCCTGCCTCTCTGTTCTTCCTCTCAGCGCCCGCCCATTCCTTCCGTCTCTGCCCCCACTGCGCAGACCCAATTGCTTACGGCTACGTAACGCCTGGAATGTGTACTCTGGCTCCTGCCCCTCCTCCTCTTTTCGCTCCTTCTTCCCTCGCGTACAACCCAGCCTCCTTCTCCTTCCTCCCTCCCAGGGCCTGCAGCTGCGCCCGCAACTTCCTTATCTGGCTCTCGATCTCCTCTGGTGACCTTTTTGCTCCGCCTGTCCCTTTATTGTATTCCCTTGCCTCATGCCCCCTTTCTCCGCACTCCTTACATGTCGGTGCCTCCGGGCAGTCCCTTCGGCGGTGCCCTGGCTTCCCACATACATCGCAGTTCCTGCAGTGCATCCTTATGTGCCCCGGCTGCCCGGTAACAGGTGCGTGTCTCTGTCCTTTTCTCCGGCCTGCTCTCTTCTCCTGCTCCCTCCCCTGGTATCATCGCCGCTTCCCAGGTAGGACTCTTCTTCTCTATCGTCCTCGGCAGGTATACCTCGTACTTCCTCTGCGCCAGCTCCACCCTCTTCGCTAACTCGAACACCTCCTCTGGTGTTGCATCTGCTCCTGGCTCATATACTCTCATTCTCAACCCTCCTGCCAATCCCTTGTCTAAATCGTTCAGAAACTTGCTAATGATCATGCTGCTGTCCGTGCACACCACGTCTTCCACCGGGTTCATTAACCGTCCGTAGTATGTCAGCAGTGACTCCTCATCCCTCCGCCTAAACTCCTGGAATTCCCTGATGCACGCTGCCGTATGCCCAGGGAACTGCTTCCTTAGTCGCTCCAGGAACAGTACTGTCGGGTCCTCGTCATCCTCTTCTGCCCTCCTCAGCCATTCACCAATCTTCATGCGATATAAAGTCTCTTCTTCCCCTCCGAACGTGCTTGGCAGGCTCAGGAAAAACTCGATCGGGTCCATCCCGCTTCTGTCGCATTGGTATTTAACATTGCTGATCTGCATCAAATAATTCTTCAGACTTGGGCCGGTTTTCTCGTTTCCTGTGAAGCGTACCGGCACCTCCACTCGCGGCTGTGCTGTTGCGCCCCATTCCCAGCTCTCCGTCCCTCCTCGCTCAGACACCATAACCCCTCTCGTCCTTTCCATTTCTCCCCTGCTGCCCGTGCTGGTTCCGTACAGCACTTGCTCTATTCCTTCCCTCGTGTCTCTTGCACATGCAGATCCTTCAACGTGACGCCCAGGCCTCCTCGGGCCCATAGGGCTAGGGATTCTCCCTCGGGCATCTTCACGCTCCCCCCAGCGCCTCTCTGCATCTTCCCGACGCTTCTCTCCCCTTGCAGGGGACCGTACTGGTACCGCCGCACTCTGTCCTCTCGCTGTCGCTCCTTCTCTGCTGCCCTCGAGACTTCTGGTGACCGCACAAATTCTTTCCTGCCTCGCCTGTCCTCCTCGCGCCTCCACTCCGTTCCTCTTTCCGGTGAGCCCCACCTGCCTCCTTCATCACCGCATTGTTCTCCCCTCCTCGGCAGTCCTAAGCCTATCCACTCGCCTCTCGCCATGCAGCGCTTGTGCTCATACTTCTGCCTCGGCTCGGGCAAGTGGAACACTCCAGCAGGTGTGTCAAGGCTCCTTTCTTTCCCTAGACGTTCCGTGGCCTCGCGCTCAGCTCCCTCACCCCAGCCGTGCTCCATATCATCTCTTTTCCGTGCTCCGGGTATGCGCTCTTCCTTCCTCCTTCCACTTTCCTCGTTCCATGCTTTCTCGTGATGCCTCTGTCCATCACCCTCTCTCATTCTTTCTTCATGCGTTCCACCCCCCCCGCGCAGCTAGGGATTCGTCTCCGTCGGCGCCAGCGCGCGTTCCACCCCCCCGCGCAGCTAGGGATTCGTCTCCGTCGGCGCCACCGCGCCTTCCGCCTCCCCGCGCTGCTGGGGATTCGTCTCCGTCGGCGCCAGCGCGCCTTTCGCCTCCCCGCGCAGCTGGGGATTCATCTCCGTCGGCGCCAGTGCGCCTTCTGCCTCCCCGCGCAGCTGGGGATTCGTCTCCGTCGGCGCCAACACGCCTTCCGCCTCCCCGCGCAGCTAGGGATTCGTCTCCGTCGGCGCCAGCGCGCCTTCCGCCTCCCCGCACAGCTAGGGATTCGTCGAGGCTTGGCGCGTCCATCTCCATGTCTCCAATATGATGCACTTACCATTATATTCAGTGACAACCTGTTCACCGGGCCAACAGGCCAGCTGGTTTAACCCGTCCATGAGGCCAAAAGGCCAGCTGGTCAAACCGGTCCATGAGGTTTACAGGCCAGTTGGTCCAACCGTTCCGTTGGACCAACAGGCCAATTGGTCCAACAGGTCCATTGGACAACAGGCTAGTTGGTCCATTTGGTCCATTGGACCACAGGCCAGTTGATCCAACCAATCCATTGGACCAACAAGCTGATTCGTCCAACCGGTCCATTCGATCAACACGCCTGTTGCTCCAACCGGTCCATAGGGCCAAAATGCCACTTGGTCCAACTGGTGCATAGGACCAACAGGCTAGTTGCCCCAGCCGGACCATTAGACCAACAGGCCAATTGGTCCAAGCAGTCCATTAGACCAACAGGCCAGTTGGACCAACTGGTCCATTGGACCAAAAGGCCAGTTGGTCCAACCGGTCCATTGAGCCAACAGGCCAGTTGGTCCAACCGGTCCATTGGGCCAACAGTTCAGTTGGTCCTACCGGTCCATTAGGCCAACAGGCCAGTTGGTCCAACCGGTCCATTGGAACAATATGCCAGTGGTCCGACCGCTCCATTGGACCAACAGGCGAGTTGGTCCAACCGGTCCATGGGACCAACATGCCAGTTCGCCCAACCGGTCCATTGGACCAACAGGCCAGTTCGTCCAACCGGTCCATTGGGCCAACAGGCCAGTTTGTCCAACCTGTCCAGAGGACCAACAGGCCAGTTGGTCCAACCTGTCCATTCGGCCAACAGGCCAGTTGGTCCAACCGGTCCATTGGGCCAACAAGAAAGTTGGTCCAACCGGTCCATTGGACCAACAAGCCAGTTGGTCCAACCGGTCCATTGGGCCAAGAGGCCAGTTGGTCCAGCCAGTCCATTGGACCAACAGGTCAGTTTGTCCAACTGGTTCATTGGACCAAAGGCCAGTTGGACCAAGCGGTCCATTGGACCAAAAGGCAAGTTGGTCCAACCGGTCCATTTGACCAACACTCAAGTTGGTCCAACCGGTCCATTGGGCCAACACTTAAGTTGGTCCGACCGGTCCAACCGACAAACAGGCTAGTTGGTCCAACCGGTCCAACCGACCAACAGGCCAGCTGGTCCAACTGATCTATTGGAACAACAGGCCAGTTGGTCCAACAGGTCCATTGGGCCAACAGGCCAGTTGGTCCAACCGGTCCATTGCAACAATATGCCAGTGGTCCGACCGCTCCATTGGACCAACAGGCGAGTTGGTCCAACCGGTCCATGGGACCAACATGCCAGTTCGCCCAACCGGTCCATTGGACCAACAGGCCAGTTGGTCCAATCGGTCCATAGGACCAACAAGGCTATTGGTCCAACCGGTCCATTGGGCCAACAGGCCAGTTTGTCCAACCTGTCCAGGGGACCAACAGGCCAGTTGGTCCAACCTGTCCATTCGGCCAACAGGCCAGTTGGTCCAACCGGTCCAGTGGGCCAACAAGACAGTTGGTCCAACCGGTCCATTGGACCAACAAGCCAGTTGGTCCAACTGGTCCATTGGGCCAACAGGCCAGTTGGTCCAACCAGTCCATTGGACCAACAGGTCAGTTTGTCCAACTCGTTCATTGGACCAAAGGCCAGTTGGACCAAGCGGTCCATTGGACCAACACTCAAGTTGGTCCAACCGGTCCATTGGGCCAACACTTAAGTTGGTCCGACCGGTCCAACCGACAAACAGGCTAGTTGGTCCAACCGGTCCAACCGACCAACAGGCCAGCTGGTCCAACTGATCTATTGGAAGAACAGGCCAGTTGGTCCAACAGGTCCATAGGACCAATAGGCCAGTTGGTCCAACCGGTCCATTGGACTAACAAGCTAGTTGGTCCAACCGGTCCATTGAACCAACAGACCAGTCGGTCCAACCGGTCCATTGGACCAACAGACTAGTCGGTCCAACCGGTTCATTAAACCAAAAGGCCAGTCGGTCCAACCGGTCAATTCGACAACAAGCCAGTTGGTCCAACCGGTCCATTGGACCACAGGCCTGTTGATCCAACCTGTCAATTCGATCTACAAGCTTGTTCGTCCAACCGGCCCATTCGACCAACACGCTCGTTGGTCCAACCGGTCCATAGGGCCAAAAATGTAACTTGGTCCAACTAGTGCATAGGACCAACAAGCTAGTTGCGCGAGCCGGACCATTAGACTAACAGTTGGTCCAATAAGTCAATTGGACCAACAGGCCAGTGGGTCCAACTAGTCCATCGGACCCTAAGGCCAGTCGGTCCAACCTGTCCATTGGGCCAACATGCCAGTTGGTCCAACCGGTCCATTGGGCCAACAGTTCAGTTGGTCCTACCGGTACATTGGGCCAACAGGTAGTTGGTCCAACTGGTCCATTAGGCCAACAGGCCAGTTGGTCCAACCGGTCCATTGGAACAATATGTCAGTGGTCCGACCGCTCCATTGGACCAACAGGCGAGTTGGTCCAACCGGTCCATGGGACCAACATGCCAGTTCGCCCAACCGGTCCATTGGACCAACAGGCCAGTTGGTCCAATCGGTCCATAGGACCAACAAGGCTATTGGTCCAACCGGTCCATTGGGCCAACAGGCCAGTTTGTCCAACCTGTCCAGAGGACCAACAGGCCAGTTGGTCCAACCTGTCCATTCGGCCAACAGGCCAGTTGGTCCAACCGGTCCAGTGGGCCAACAAGACAGTTGGTCCAACCGGTCCATTGGACCAACAAGCCAGTTGGTCCAACTGGTCCATTGGGCCAACAGGCCAGTTGGTCCAACCAGTCCATTGGACCAACAGGTCAGTTTGTCCAACTGGTTCATTGGACCAAAGGCCAGTTGGACCAAGCGGTCCATTGGACCAAAAGGCAAGTTGGTCCAACCGGTCCATTTGACCAACACTCAAGTTGGTCCAACCGGTCCATTGGGCCAACACTTAAGTTGGTCCGACCGGTCCAACCGACAAACAGGCTAGTTGGTCCAACCGGTCCAACCGACCAACAGGCCAGCTGGTCCAACTGATCTATTGGAAGAACAGGCCAGTTGGTCCAACAGGTCCATAGGACCAACAGGCCAGTTCGTCCAACCGGTCCATTGGACTAACAAGCTAGTTGGTCCAACCGGTCCATTGAACCAACAGACCAGTCGGTCCAACCGGTCCATTGGACCAACAGACTAGTCGGTCCAACCGGTTCATTAAACCAAAAGGCCAGTCGGTCCAACCGGTCAATTCGACAACAAGCCAGTTGGTCCAACCGGTCCATTGGACCACAGGCCTGTTGATCCAACCTGTCAATTCGATCTACAAGCTTGTTCGTCCAACCGGCCCATTTGACCAACACGATCGTTGGTCCAACCGGTCCATAGGGCAAAAAATGTAACTTGGTCCAACTAGTGCATAGGACCAACAAGCTAGTTGCGCGAGCCAGACCATTAGACTAACAGTTGGTCCAATAAGTCGATTGGACCAACAGGCCAGTGGGTCCAACTAGTCCATCGGACCCTAAGGCCAGTTGGTCCAACCTGTCTATTGGGCCAACATGCCAGTTGGTCCAACCGGTCCATTGGGCCAACAGTTCAGTTGGTCCTACCGGTACATTGGGCCAACAGGTAGTTGGTCCAACTGGTCCATTAGGCCAACAGGCCAGTTGGTCCAACCGGTCCATTGGAACAATATGCCAGTGGTCCGACCGCTCTATTGGACCAACAGGCGAGTTGGTCCAACCGGTCCATGGGACCAACATGCCAGTTCGCCCAACCGGTCTATTGGACCAACAGGCCAGTTGGTCCAATCGGTCCATAGGACCAACAAGGCTATTGGTCCAACCGGTCCATTGGGCCAACAGGCCAGTTTGTCCAACCTGTCCAGGGGACCAACAGGCCAGTTGGTCCAACCTGTCCATTCGGCCAACAAGCCAGTTGGTCCAACCGGTCTAGTGGGCCAACAAGACAGTTGGTCCAACCGGTCCATTGGACCAACAAGCCAGTTGGTCCAACTGGTCCATTGGGCCAACAGGCCAGTTGGTCCAACGAGTCCATTGGACCAACAGGTCAGTTTGTCCAACTGGTTCATTGGACCAAAGGCCAGTTGGACCAAGCGGTCCATTGGACCAAAAGGCAAGTTGGTCCAACCGGTCCATTTGACCAACACTCAAGTTGGTCCAACCGGTCCATTGGGCCAACACTTAAGTTGGTCCGACCGGTCCAACGGACAAACAGGCTAGTTGGTCCAACCGGTCCAACCGACCAACAGGCCAGCTGGTCCAACTGATCTATTGGAAGAACAGGCCAGTTGGTCCAACAGGTCCATAGGACCAACAGGCCAGTTGGTCCAACCGGTCCATTGGACTAACAAGCTAGTTGGTCCAACCGATCCATTGAACCAACAGACCAGTCGGTCCAACCGGTCCATTGGACCAACAGACTAGTCGGTCCAACCGGTTCATTAGACCAAATGGCCAGTCGGTCCAACCGGTCAATTCGACAACAAGCCAGTTGGTCCAACCGGTCCATTGGACCACAGGCCTGTTGATCCAACCTGTCAATTCGACCTACAAGCCTGTTCGTCCAACCGGCCCATTCGACCAACACGCCTGTTGGTCCTGTTGGATGCAAATTCACATTGCACGACATCCTGCCGTCTGTTTGTACGAGTATGCGCGTGCGAATGCATTTGGGTGTGAATGGAATGTTCGTGTGTTTGTTTGCTTTCGCAATTTTTGCTTGATGCATTTGCAGGTACTCGCGCAATGTGCGCTTCGGCACAACATTGTACGCGCTATGTACAGTGCAAGCAGAAAGGACGAGCTCGCAAAGGAACCCAAGATGGACGCTTTGCAGTTCGGTTGAATTGATTGCGCAGATTCAGTTCTATCCAACTCGAAATTGTACTGTTTTGTTTGGTTGACTATAGTGTAGCAGGGCAGGCACTATAGGGGTACAATTTAGGTGAAGGTTGGATGTTGTTTGTCTGTATCTGC